TTGATATAGATGGGTAAAAGCTTTTTTGTAACCAAGGTAGTGGAATCGGTTGATTTCCTAATTTTCTATACTTAGAAGCTCTACGTGTTATTTTTTTAAATCTTTTTATATGTGTGTTGAGAAGTTTTTTTATTACTTCTGTTCCCTGGTCTAATTCAACTCTAACCATTAACTTATTGTTATTATACACACACACACACACACACACACACACACACATATATATATATATATATATATATATATATATATATATATATAGAAAGAGTAGGAAAACCCCCAGATCCTATTTTTAATTTTTCTGTTTTAGCATAGATCTGACTTTTAATTGGTTAATCCAGATATACCCACAAGTATATATTTTAATTCTGACATTAGGATCCACCCACTTTTTACCTTTCAAATGAGAGAAATGATTTATTTCAAATTTATCAAATAAATCATTTGTATTATGTTTTCTAGCATCGCCTGAAGAGGAACCATTAGAGTTCCGAGACATGAAAGTTTTTTTGTAGCGATGTAAAAATGTTTTTATTGTAATATATTTTATATATATATATATATATATATATATATATATGAATAAAGTCGAAAAGGAAAATTTACCATTTTGTCTTCATTTATATCGTCCTAGACTTACACACACGCATGCACACCACACATACATATATATATATTCTCTCCCTCTTTCTTTTTCTCCCTGTGTGTGTGTTTGTCTCTCTCTCTCTCTCTCTCTCTCTCTCTCTCTCTCTCTCTATATATATATATATATATATATATATATATATATATATTGTCCGAGCCGCTAGTGTATTTCGTATAGAGGAAAACCTTAAAATGCTCTTTCATTCTGACGTGTCACAACGGCTTATCAGATTGACGATGTCAAATCACTCGGTTTCGATCCAGGCTAGAAGCAATTTGACGTCTAGCCACGCTGAGTAGCTGTAATACAGCGGAACACCCTGTATTTGGATGACAATATATATATATATATATATATATATATATATATATATATATATATATAGTTTAAGAGTGGATAATGAGACGGCCTAATATAAGCAGGCGTGTACGCGTGTGCTGGTGTCCATACGCAGGCAAGCAAATAAAAATTCGTCAAATTTATGCATGAGGTGTAAAAGTAATAGTGCTCAATGCGGTTATAAAGAGTAAAGATATGTATTAATTAATACATATACGTGTACCTACGTTTTGCCGTGAGGCTATAGTTTCGCTGGGTGGTGTTCCCCAGCTCATCGGGCACGGGTCTATCTTGCCGAAAGTCAACATAGCAACATAGACCCCGTGCCCGATGAGCTGCGAAAAACCACTCAGTGAAACTATAGTCATACGCCAAAACGTAGGTAAATTATATGTACAAATTAATAATTTCAACTGTACATACAATTATCCTCAGACATGGAAATTATTTTGTTTTTAGTAAATCCAGGTAGCATTGGAGACGAAAGATTAAATGCGAATCGAAAAATGCTTTTTTTTAGAAATGTGTTATTGTTAACGGATAGAAAATTTCGAGTGTGCAGTCGCAACGCTAAGGTTGAATTTTTTTTTTAAATTTAAAAGAGGGCGTTTTTTACTAATATGGTAACTTGAGAATCTTTTTTTGTTATAGGAGTTTATCAGTAAATGAGAATGACTATATACAGTTGAAAGTACCTGCAGATTAAAAAAAGACCTTATACAACTTGTAGCTATTCAAAACAAGGATCATAACATTCATCGAGTGGTTCGTAGGTTAATGCAACTTTAAAATTTTGTTTGCGAAGAGTTTTCGCCATTTTATATCATTAACTCTACTTTTTGTATGAATGATTCATTGTAATATAAAATATAAATTGAACTGTACCACATATTTGATATATATATATATATATATATATATATATATATATATATATATATATATATATATATATATATAGGGAGGGAGAGAGTGGGGAGAGAGAAAGACTTAAAATCTCTTCTTCATTCAGTCATGTAGAAGGAATGATATTACATCGCAGATCAACAGTCTTTTTTGTTGCTAACCGAATTTTGTTGTTTCTTAATAGATTGTTCATTTTTGGGAATGCATCTGCGATTTAAAGCCACAGAGATTTGAACGATGTTGAAAATACGATGGACAGAACATGTGAGCGATGAGGAAGTTTTAAAATAAATGAGGACGATAAAACACTGAAAGAGTGCTGAAATGAGAAAATTGTGCATGGCGAATTTGAAACTCACAGGGACATGACACAGAAAAGTAAGAAAAGAAGTTTTTTTTAAATATATATCTTCTTGTTCCGTTTTCCTTTCATGATGTAAACGATCATGTCTCTCCAGAGCTCCTATCTCTTGTGGCCTTTCTCCCCACGTTCTGCTATCCATTTACACAAATTTATCAGGTTTGTGGCTGGTTACCTTACCCTATCTCTCTTGTCCTTGATATGCCCAGTGAGGGTTAAGTTTTCTGAGCCGCCCTTCCATTTTGTGTCCAAGACATTTCAGACATCTCTTTCTAATTATGAGTATGTGTTCTTTTTCTTAAGATTTTCTTTGAGACTTCCTTGTTGCATATTTTGCTCCGTCTATGGAATTTACAGTTTCCTTCTGTAGAACCACATTTCTGTTGTGTACGTCTTTTCTCTTCATCTGCGGGGAGATTAAACAATATTCACTGTCATACTAGAGGATTGATATTTATATTTAGAACTGCATTCTTTGTTTCAAGCGAAACGAAACGAAATTTTAAAATATGTAAACAAAATTTCATAATATAAAATGTCTACCTAAATGTTAATGTTCCTGTCTTTATAAAACAGATTTCCATTTATGATTCGCCTGTAGAAAAAAAAAAAAACAATATGAATGAACAAGGCATTTCATTTCATTTTTTGCTACATTTACAAATGTCTTAAGAAACGATTACAAGTGGATATTTGTAGTTGTGCATATTTTTATCTGTGATCTTGTCACATATCATGGTGCTCCATAATTCCACACGTTTCCCCGCTTTTTGAACATGGATAGAAATTTATGATTGTATAAGACTGGGTTTCCGGTTCTTTCTAAAGCAGTGGTTCCCAACCGATTTTTGGCCATGCCCCACTTTGTAATTTCTAAAATTCTGGTGCCCCCACCGTAATATTTAATTATTACATATAAGTGCATACAGACAAAATGTTTGCATACTGTATATGCATCGTATAAACACTCATCAACATTAACGCTCGCACTCAGACTCATTAGAAAACAAGTCTCGAATTGCCCCCTTCATCTGTTGGTATAGTAAGCCGAAGGGTGCACAACCTATGCATGCCCTACCAAAATATTACCATGATCCATTGTGGGGTATGCGCCTGATATAATGGAAGAACCCATCACCCTCCATAAATGATTACACTATAGGTAGTAAGTACCTATACATTCAACTATCTACAAGAGACGGGGAAGACGATAGACGGGAGAAAAGAGAGAGAGAGAGAGAGAGAGAGAGAGAGAGAAGACGCAAACAAATCAAAGCTACCAATTAGTGGCACTCACTACTAGATTGACCTGTGTGTGCCGTCGCCTCCCTCTGTCTTTTTTAGAAATACTTTCATGGTAACTGCTCCGATGAGCTACTTTCGCTGGTTTCCAAACTTCTACTAGACTGGCATCTCGCTCACACCCTTTCACTGTCGAAACAGTTAAATGCAGCCGTCTCTTCTACTCCAATAGATTCATGTCTTGCACCTCTCACCTGTGGAAAACCCTCCCCTCTTCCTGTTTCCCTGTTAGCTATAATCTCCAACTATTCAAAGGTAATGTCAATCGACGTTTCCAGATGCCTTGATCTATCCCCTATCCTTCTATTCATCCTTTCCCTCTATCACTCCTCTTTGCTCTCCTTCTAACTCTCTGTAACCCCTTGTGTGCTAGTGGCTTCCCGCCTTGCTTGGAGTGAAACGCTTAAAAAAATAAAAGTATATAACTGTACCATATTTCAAATTGTACTTGTTGTGTACAATAAACCTTTCTTCTAGTATCCACCTGGTGTTACTTATCTATTCTCTTAGCATGGAATATAATATATATAAAGATTGTCCGTACATAACAGCGCCCCACGTTGGGAATCATTGTTCTGAAGTTTTCTCATTATATTTCACTTCTAGTAAGCTCATAAGTCTTAATGGCGTGATTGTCTGGCTTGGTGGGAATTAATTTGAAAAAAAAAGAAAAGAAAAGAAAACGATTATGGATTTCTGTGATTGTCTTCTTTAATTTCATATTCTCTTTTCCTTTATCATTTGATTCTTTTCTTTTCTATTTCTTTTATTCTACATTTTATTCTGTCGCTTCAATCTTGAACGAAATAATGTGCGATGCTTCAGACGAGCTTTTTGTCATTTAAACAAAAATATTTATTCTTACTGCTTTCTCTCTATCACTCACTCTCACGATCATTATCACAACCCCTCACTATGTTTAACACTCTTTCACTAGCTGTCGCTCATTATCTCTCCCTCTTACGCATATAATTTCACTATCTCGCAATAACGCAAACTCACTCAGAAGCTTTTACAGTCTCTATGCTTAGCAATAGGATGTAAATTTGTTTAAGTGAAATAATAAATATTTAAATTAAGTTAACGGTAGACTGGAACGTCTGTTTGTGCGACAGATATTGGTAAATTTAACGGGTAAATAGGAGTGAGCTTCTTAGAAACGAATAATTAACCAGGGTGCATTCTTTGAATAATTAGAATATCTATCTATCTATCTATCTATCTATCTATCTATCTATCTATCTATCTATCTATCTATCTATCTATCTCTCTCTCTCTCTCTATATATATATATATATATATATATATATATGTGTGTGTGTGTGTGTGTGTGTGTGTGTGTATGTATATGCAGTTTCTATCTACATTGGTGTGCCATCTTACTGACACAAGTGTTCATGGAGAATAAAAAAATGAAGCGTAAATAACACAGATACGTATAGAATTTCAATTCAACAAAAATTTGTGCCCTCGATACAGACAATGGTGAAATAAATAACAGATAGATAGATAGATAGATAGATAGATAGATAGATAGATAGATAGATAGATAGATGTGAACAGTCTCAAATAGATATATTGATAGATAGATAGATAGATAGATAGATAGATAGATAGATAGATAGATAGATAGATAGATAGATATGAACATGCTTAGAAAGACAGACAAACAGACAGATAGATAGATAGATAGATAGATAGATAGATAGATAGATAGATAGATAGATTTGAATAGGCCAAGATAGATAGATAGATAGATAGATAGATAGATAGATAGATGTGAACAGTTTCAAATAGATATATCGATAGATAGATAGATAGATAGATAGATATGAACAGACTTAGAAAGACAGACAGACAGACAGATAGATAGATGGATAGATAGATTTGAATAGGCCAAGATAGATAGATAGATAGATAGATAGATAGATAGATTTCAATTGGCCAAGATAGATAGATAGATAGATAGATAGATAGATAGATAGATAGATAGATTTTAACAGGCTAAGACAGATATATATATATATATATATATATATATATATATATATATATATATATATATAGATAGATAGATAGATAGATAGATAGATAGATAATGAACAGGCTACGATAAATAGATAGGATTGCATGTCGTTGATTGTGACAAAATTCTCTTTCAATTTTCCTTCGCATCCCAGAAGTTAAGAAAAAGCTTGAAAAATCCTTTCGTCTATTTTATTTTGCTTTTCGGTCATACTTATTTACTTATTTTATAATGAAATTGCGCGAAAATTTCTTGCTGCGTAAACATCATCGAGAAAGACGCTTTCTTTTTTTACTATTTATCGTAAATAACAAATAATAATTAAAAAAAAAGAAATATGATCAAATACAACTGGGTGTTATCATCGGTTAATACAGATCAAAGATATCAGTCGTACTAGATACGAAAAAAATGATTTCTTTTGATTTTTATTTCAAGAAAACACTTCACTCTTCGATGGAAAAATAAATTAATTCCGATAGTTTATCACGTGAAAGAAAGGGGTAAAGATCATTCTCAAATAGATAGAATTTTGATTATGGTTTTATGTGATTTTTTTTCTCGTAGAGTTTATTTTAGTTTATTTTCCTCACGCATAATTTATTAAATCTTCTCTTTGAGGCGATAAATATCTGAATAAATGATTGCAAAGGGACGGTTTACTTTGAGTTGCTGTACACTATAATTTATTGTCTTTAGTGAAGTAAAAGGTTGAGGCTTCTTGACTTCTTTCTACAGTTAATCAAATTAGACGGAAAAAGAGAAAAGCTGTTAGGAAAGCATGAATTGCATGATGGGAAGAAATATTAGAAATTCATCGAGACGATCTCGTGCTTTGTACAAATCTTTGCATTTGTTTGTACGAATAAAAATGCAAAATAGTTGAACGGAAATTTTGGAAAACACACAAATGAAAGGATTAAAAAGGAAAAAAATAAATGAAGAAAATTGGTAATAGAATAAAAAAGAATGAAAGGTGGAAAAGAAATAAAAGGAAATAGAAGAAGAATTAAGAAGGACTTTGAATGGAAAAGGAAAAGAAAAAAAAAATAGATGTGAATACATCAGGGAAAAATTAAAAAGCAACAAAAACATAATTAGCCAAATATAAAACAACAATATTGTAAAGATGATGCTTGTGACAATGTTGATAGTAATATCATCTGGACGGAGGTGAAGGCGATTTAAGGAAGATTAATCTGAGCTGTAAAAAAGAATTACAAACAGTTTCAGAAAGCGATCTATGTAATGAAAACAAAACATTTCGCTTTATAAAAAGTAAAGTGCCTTTTACGGGGTTATCACGAGCAAGTCCTTAGAATATCAAAGTCATCGAGTCTCTTTTATTGTTGACTTTCAAAAGATGATTTTAAACAAACGAACGTCTACCATGGCGGTAAGATCTAAGCACCACCCGTCATGAATAAAATATGGAACGTGGTGGTTTTTAATGCCCTCCACCCCTACTCCACCACGTACACAGGGACACTGAGGAAATTCTCCAGCTTTCTTTCCACGGTCGTCGCCTTTTTCTCTGATGAATGAGTGCTTCCTGAGGAATGTCCCTAGTAAAGTGGAGTATATTATGCATCGTATACAATTCACAAATGACACGATGGTTGAGAAGCTTAGCTCACGGACATATGAGTTATGTAGTATTCAATTATTTTGACTTTGTGTCAAATTAGCTACGCTTAGTAAGTAGGAAGAAGATTCAAGAAAACAAATATTATAAAAACAGAAAAGTTTTGTTGATGTCGGCGTCGATGAGACGATGGAGTAGCGAGGTGCGCTACGAGCCTGGGCGGGATATATGGAGAACTAGGGCTGCCCGGATATCTAGTTCCCCCTCTCGGCCTTGCTAACAGAGTCCAAAGGAGAGGATTAACCAATACAGTTGGGTACCAGCGCGCCTGCAGGAGTTGCCGGAAGGTAGCACAAAGTGCCGTCAATCCACCTTAGGGGCTCCACTCTGGGTTTGAATTCAGAGTTGTCCTTCTCCTAGACCAGTTGCCATGCAAGGCTATAGAACCCAGTCTCTCCTGTTATTTACCCATAACTGGAGGGAGAAGAAGAGGTTTCCCAAGGGTATTAGCACCTAAGTGAATATAATGGATTCGAATGAAATTGGAACTCGGCCTCCGATTCCTCAATCCAAGCCGCTATCCATTACTCCACCTTTCCTCAATAATAATAATAATAATAATAATAATAATAATAATAATAATAATAATAATAATAATAATAATAATAATAATAATAATAATAATAATGTCAATTCTAATTATACCATCCACACAGACAGAAAAAATTGAAGCAAATAGGCACATTATTGTCAAAAACCAGAAAGAAAAAAAACTTGCCTACTAATTGATATGGCTTGTCCAGCGGATTGTAACATAGCAAACCAAGGAATTTGAAAAAAACTATCAAAATACAAAGACCTGGAAATTGAAATAGAAAAAATGTGGAAATTGAAAACAAGAATAATACCAGTGGTAATAGGTGCTTGGAATTATAAAAATGGAACAAAACAACACATTGAAAGAATCCCTGAAACCCCAGCTTAAGAGACATACAGAAATTGTCTTATTAAGTACAGCACACACACCAAGAGAACTTTGTCTATGTAACGCTAGCAACTTCATCGGAGATAAAAAAAAAAAAAAAAAAAAAATTAACATGAAATTATAACACACCACGACCTGCCTTAGGTCTTTCCGCAGACTTGCAGGTAGTGTGTCCATAGCAAAATAATAATAATAATAATAATAATAATAATAATAATAAAGGCACAGAGAACAAGACGATACGAAAAACGTTGTAGGTTCTATCGCCAAAATAAAATATTCAACAGATCGGAAATTGAAAACACCTATACATGTCGAAAGGCTACCATCGATTGATAATGTACAGACATTTTGGGAAAATATTTGGAGCAGCCCAAAGAAATATAATCCAAATGCAGAATGGATACGGCGTGAAGAAGAACGACTGCTGGATACACCTCTGCAAGAATGGGAAAATATATCCACAGATGATGTTAGGCAAGCGCTAACGAAATCCCCAAAATGGAAATCCCAGGAAATGACAAGTTGCCCAATTTCTGGCTGTATCATCTCTCATCTACCCTTGAAATTTTTGCAGAAACATTATCAACGCTTGTAAATAATCCCAATAAAATCCCGGAATGAAGGTGTTACATACCTCATACCAAAAACAACTGAAACAGACGACCCGAAAAATTATAGACCGATAACATGTCTCTCCACAACGTATAAGTTGATCACGTCTGTACTGACGAACCGTAATTATTCATTTTTCGAAACAAACAGCATTCTTCCGCTGGAACAGAAGGGATGCAGAAGAGGTTCATATGGCTGCAAAAGATCAACTGCTGATAAATAAAATGATCCTGAAAATTGCAGCAGACGACGCAGAAATCTTAGTGCAAAAGCGTGGATTGATTATCGTAAAGCCTTTGATAGTGTTCCACATTCTTGGATCCATAAGACTTTGGAAATGTACAAAGTCTCCCCTGTGGTATTAAATTTCCTTAAGCACGGCATGGGAATGTGGAACACCAAACTATACATTAGTCACACCGGGGGCCCTGCCATATCCAACCGTCTGAATATCCGACGTGGAATCTTTCAAGGAGATTCTCTGTCACCCCTTCTGTTTTGTTTATCCTTAATCGCTCTTACACATGAACTGAACAACAGTAGCTATGGTTACAAAAAAAATAAGAAAATATTCAATCACCTACTCTACATGGATGATCTCAAACTCTTTGCCAAAGATGACAATGAGTTGAAAGGCCTCCTCAATATTGTAAAACACTTCAGTGACGACATAGGTATGGACTTCGGATTAGATAAATGTGCAAACGTAACTTTCAAGAAAGGTAGAATTACAGAAACACCCTTAATAGATTTAGATTTTGTCACAAAGATTAGGGAACTGGAGCATGGTGAAGCTTATAAGTACCTAGGAATTAGCGAAGGAGATGGCATACAACACCCCCAAATGAAGGAAAAATAAGAAAAAGAATACTACAGGCGTGTACGTCTGGTACTAAATACTGAGCTAAACTCAAAAACAGGGTATCAGCCATAAACACATTGGCTGTCCCTGTGGTGCAATACAGCTTTAATGTCCTTAACATGGACCATAGCTGAAATTAAGCGAATGGATGCCAAAACGAGAAAGATACTCACTTGCTATCGTATGCATCATCCCAAAGCTGATGTCGATCGGCTGTATGTGCCCAGATCCGAAGGAGGCAGAGGATTAGTTCAACTAGAACTGTCCTACAAAACTACAACAATTGGCCTCCAAAGATATTTGGAAACTACAGAAGACTGGATGATGCTATGCATCAAGGAACATGAAAGTAGTAAGCATCTCTACTCCGTAATGAAAGAAGCCAACAAATTCAAAATGGAGTTTCAAATGGGCGTAGAGATGCAACTACAGCACAATACACCAGCTGAAACTGCAAAATACTTAAAAAAGACAGCAAAGACGAATGCAACCGACCAGTTACAGAAGCGATGGCAAGATAGACCGCTTCATGGCCAATACTCTGCCCGTACCAAACAAGCTGACAGAGACAAAACCCGTACCCATCAGTGGCTACGTAGTGCAGGGTTGAAAGCGAAAACTGAAGGTTTTATCCTTGCTGCGCAGGACCAATGCTTGCTAACTAGGAATTATCAAGCACATATACTAAAATATTGTGTCAGCCCCAAATGCAGATTCTGTGATAAATATCCAGAAACGATTGATCATCTTGTATCAGGTTGTACGGTGTTGGCACCCACTGAATATAAAACCCGACATGACAGAGTGGGCCAATATCTGCACTGGAAAATCTGCAACTTCTACGGGAGGAAAACTGAAAGAAACTGGTATGAACACCAACTAGACCCGGTTACGGAGATAGGACCTGTTACAATTCTATGGGATTACACAATACACACTGACAGAACAATCAAGGCCAACCGGCCAGATATTGTTATTAAAGACCACAAACAAAAAACGGTGCCTCCTTATTGATATGGCAGTCCCTGGTGACTGCAATGTATCTTTGAAGATATTCAAAAATTGTCAAAGTACAAGGACCTTTGAAATAGAAATCTCGAAAATGTGGCATATGGGAACATCAACAATCCCTGTTGTAGTTGGAACCCTAGGACTGGTTGGAAAAGATTCCAGTAGACTAATTGAAGAGATTCCTGAAGTCCATGCCTCAAGGAGATACAAAAAATTGTTCTGACAAGTACAGCCCACACCTTACGAAGGGCTTTATCTATGTAATTTTTTTTTTTTTTTTTTAGTGGAAAGTGTCATGACGCCATTTCTAACCTTAGGTTTCTGGGCGGGACCCGGAAAGAAATGTGTAAACGCCAGAAATCAAAGAAAAATAAAAATAATAATAATAATAATAATAATAATAATAATAATAATAATACAGATTATGTGATTTGTCCCCCTGCAGTGACCGCATATTCATTTTTTTATTTTTGGTTTCATGATATGTCATGTGTCTGCATCTTCTGATACACAAAAGCTGAAACCAAAGGTTTTATTCTTGCTGCACAGGTCCAATGCTTGCTCACAAGGAATTACCAAGGATACATACTGAAAAAAAAAAATGTATTCACCCGAAATGAAAAGTCTGTGGTAAATATCTCGAAACAATTGATCGCCTTGTATCAGGTTGCACACTGGATATAAAACTAGGAATGATAAACTGGGCCAATATCTGCACTGGAAAAATATACTCAACTTTTATGGAAACTGCAAGAAACTGCTATGAACATAACCCAGACTCGGTTACAGGGATAAGGCCTGTAATAATTTTATGGGACTTTTCAATACACACAGACAGAGTAATCCAAGCTAATCGCCCAGATATCGTGATCAAAGACCACAAAAACAGAATTTGCTTTCTTATTGACATGACAGTCTCTGTAGATTGTAATGTATTTTTGAAGAACTTCAAAAATCGATCAAAATACAAAGATCTTGAAGTGCAATCTACAAATATGGTACATGAG